GCAAAGAAAAGGGGAAAAAAGGGCTTGAAACTTCACAAAGACGCCCACACAAACAAACTAAAACATAAATATAGTATCCCCATACTCTCGACACACACACACACACACACACACACACACACAATCCCATACACTTAAAGACCTCTGAGCCAGCGGAGCGATAAGATTAGAGGAAGTACGTGGGTGTGAAATAGCTGTGGTATGGGACTTTCTGGATTCACACAATCTGCACTGACTGCAGGCCCTGCTTTTTATTAGAGTTCAAGCTGATGGGAATACACAGACGCTGATGACACCCACACACATATCCTGCGATTCTGGGCTAAGAACTACACAAATACAGTATTTACACACACACACACACACACACACACTGAACAAGTTCATATTTATGCATCCTTCCCTCATAGTGTGCAAATTCAGACATGACTATTCTTACACATCTTTACACAGGGCAGATGCATGTGTGGACACTGCTGTGATATTATACATCACATCATGTAAAGATCAGAATGGCTACTTAAAGGGACAGTTTATCCCAAAATCAAAAATACATATTTTTCCTCTTACATGTAGTGCTGCTATAATGGTATGAGATGGCACTCGGCTTGTGGTGCTCAAAGAGCCCAAAAAAAATCAGAAAAACTCAACAGCAATGTCTCTTTCCAGAAATCATGACCCATTTACTCAAGATAATCCACAGACCTTGTTGTGAGTAGTTTCATGTAGGAACTATTTTCCTCCTACCAAACTACACCCATTAATGCATCACAGTGCAGGAGGAAACGTGCATTTTGCTAACTGAGATATTGCTAGCTCACCTAGCACCACCAAGCTAGCTGACATTACAGTTCAGCCAAGGAGGACGCCATTAATGTTTACATCTGGCGCTGTTACAAGCACAAGCCTCTCGTCCATGAGTAGATGCACGCTTTCTTCTGTGTGGTGATATGGCTGGTGGGTGTACAACAGCAACAACAAAAAAGATGACCCAGTTACTCAAGATAATCCACAGGCCTTGTTGTTAGCAGTTTCATGTAGGAACTATTTTCTTTCCACCAACCATATCACCATGCAGAAGGACGTGTGCATCTACTCATGGATGAGAGGCTTGTGCCCATGACAGCACGAGACATGCACATTAATGGCGTCCTCTGCGGCTTAACTGTATTTGTTAGCTAGCTTAGTGGTGCGAGGTGAGGTAGCGGTATCAGTTAGCTAGATGCATGCTTCCTTCTGTGCCATGATGCGTTGGCAGGTGTAGTTTGGTAGGAGAAAAATAGTTCCTACATAAACTGCTCACAACAAGGCTTGTGGATTATTTTAGTAACTGGGCCATGATTTTTCATGATTTTGATATTTTTTTTGGCGTGTTGAGCACCACACGCTGAGTGCCATCTAGTTCCATTTTATTTGAAAGAATGCAGACATCTCCACTGCCAATATCTCAAACATTTGGCTCCTCACACCAGAACAATTTAGAGTGATAACTATCACTACAGGTAAGAGGAAAATGTATTTTTTGATTTAGGTGTGAACTGTTCCTTTAAATACATTAAGTAAAGAGGCTGAAGTTGATCTCGGGGCAGTAACCTTGAGGTCGTGACTTCTGCTCTGGTGCAAACAAAGCGAAAACCCAGAACCATCAGTGGGTCCATTAACAAAGCCCGAGGCTCGACAAGGCTTTCTTTGTTTCATAATTAATGCAAACGTGATAACCATGACACTGATAGTTGGGCGGTCCGAACATCAGTGTCTCTGACACATGAAAATGAAAGCTGCCATTCATCAATGCACATGGACCCCATAAGACTGAATTATTAAGCACAACACAAGAGACCTTTGTACCAGATTAATGGAAGCATGCGGCGCAGCACATTTATTACTGCGATACAGTACAGTCAGCAGCGTGTTAGTGTGTTAAATGTTAGTCATACGGGAGGCTGCATCTTCAAATTATTGTGTCAGTTAACGCAACAGAGGCAAAGTTGCCTTTGTGTTGCTGGTGTTAACAGATTTGTTGTGTTGCGTTTAATCTCAATACATCTACGTTTGTGCCTCTGTATGCATCAAGGACTCACAAGTCTCCTGACATCTGTTAGAGCACTGAAACACCACTTTCTTTAAATATACTATGCATCATGAGAAAAAAGAACACTTGTCCTTTTCAGTTTCCCATTCGTCTTCAATTAGTTTGAAGTGTTTGCTGAGAGCTGCTCCTAGATGGATGGAGAAAAAAAAAGAAAGGTGGGGAAAGAGATAAAGAGAGAATTTATTCAATCAATCGTATCCACGGAAGAACAGCACTTTGTGGTAGATTTCAGGCAAAGAGGGAAAAAGAGGCAGGATGTGGTGGGTTAGAAACAGACCTGAGGGGGAGAGATGGCCAGAAGAAGAAGACAAATAAGAGAGGGAAAGTAAGGGGGTGTATTTTGATATATTGTCATCAAAACCCCTCAAAGTTTTCTTATTTCTTATCTTCATAATTTGAATTTGATGATTTGATTTGGATTTGATTTAAAAGCCAAATGATCTCAAGGTTTTTTCTACACCGTGGAGCATTTCTCTACATTCCAGACACTGTCGAGAGTGAAAGCTGCGATCAAAAATAGCCGTTTCTCCCTATACAAGTCAATAACAGTCCGCCGAGCAGCAGAATAGCAGAAATGCTGGGAAAGCCCTCAAAACAAAGGAACTGAAAAGGGTTCCTCTCAGAGCCGCTGTCCACGGGCTATTGATTGTGTATTTGTTTATTTGGTTAGAAGGGTGCCCTGAGATCACGTTTCCCTAATCGAGGCAGATTACAGAAAGAAATACGATGCTGCATAAATGAGGTTGCATGATGTTACCCTTCTACTGAATTTCACGTTATAATGCTCTGGTAATTAGATTTGGTGTATTGTGCATTAGGCCTTGTTTAGGGAAGAAAGAGATACAGACCGGCTATTAGTGACAAAGAGTAACATGACGACAGGAGAGGGTGAAACGCTGCTGTGATTTAAAAGGATTCCCTGCATGATTTACATCGTGAGGACTTGACGAAACATTATAACGGCATATCTCATCCCTCAGGTCCCCTTTATTTTAAACAACCTTTTTTGTCCTGTCCTAATATCATAAAGCCTATTCACTCAGGATCCTGTCAGATCCAATAAGGACAAAAGGCTTTGAAAGTGACCTTGGTCACTCCATACAGCCACTGTGGAAAATTATTCACACAGTCACTGTTTCATTGCAGTGCAACAAATTATCCAGACTGGGTTAATTAATGAGTTAATATTCAGTACTTGTAGAGCAGCTTACTGAGCCGTCTGCCGCTCTTGGATGTTGTCCAAAGAGACATCTTTAGTGTAAATTAACATGTTGGGCGAGGAGACTGTCGTTTAAACTGGAGATTTAGTTTTATGGTTATGTTCTTCAGGGCTGCAGACACATGGTCCTCTTGGGTGATGCTGGACTAATGTGAATACAGACACTCTCTAATGGGGGGCCATTACAACCCACACTGCAAGAACTATTCATTTTTTATGAGAGGGGTAGATCCGTTGGCGCCTAATATCAGGGGCAGTCAACCTTACTGGTTACATCTAGCTCTGTGCTCATGCAGGATTCAGTGAAGCTGCGAGTTTAAAGCATGGTTCAGCCTTTTGGGGGCGATGGATCATGAAGTGGGGTCTGGGGGATTCTTCAGTAGATTTACTCAAGCACTGTATTTAAGTACAAATTTGCGCATTTGTGCTTTAGATTGAGAGGGAAATAACACGTTTTAATTCACTATATTTGACAGCTTGCCTTTAGTTATAAGTTTGGGTATTTTACAGATTTAACTACTAATATGTACATACAATAGTTAAGATTAGCTCCAACTCAACCAATGCATCATTAATTATGATGTGATAATATAATGCATATTTTCATCACTCACAGGGACTATTTTCCTGCAATTTAAGTGCTTTTAGTATTGATGCTTTAGATGGATTTTGCTAATAATATTTACTTTTAGCCTACTTAATTTCTGGGTGGTAAAATAGTCCCTCATCCCATGTACTGATAAAGAAAATATAAAGAAAAAAGAACTGCTATGCTTTGAGAGGCAGCCACGAATCACTGGCTGAAATAATCGTTAGCAATTGTCATCATTAGCATAAATAAATGTAACAAATGGCCATTATTATTACTACCCGTTCTAGTATTACAGTGTCCTGCAGTTGTGTGTGTGGTTTGTGCAAGTGGTGACACGGTACCCTTGCAGAAGCTGTTGCTCAAAGACTGTAGGTAGGTACAGTTAATGTCAAACATTGTACTGTCTCTTGCTGTCAATATATTAAAAGGAAAAAACTAGAATGTAATTTGAGTGTAGGCTATATCACTGTCGATTGTTATAGTTAGTGTGTCATTAAAACAAAGTCACAGTATAGGCACTTTGCTTGCGTGGCCCTCAATCATACGCTGGCCCCCTAAATGGCGCTCACACTTTGAGAACATACTCCTATTTAATGCACATTTGTGTGTGCTTGTGAGTTTGTGTGTGTGTCAGCATGTGTTTGCCTGTTTTATGAATAACATTTTTGTGAAGATGTGTGTATATGTATTGTATATGTGTATATGTTATGGTACTTGTTTGGGGGAATCAGTTATCATGCTAATGGCAAGTCTAAATTGGTGGCTAGAGGGAGGCTTAACCATGACTATGTGACCCCAGATATGTTTGCATACTGTGCCGTGTGTTGCTGTATGTTGTGTATGATTTTGAGAACCCCCCTGATCTAAGCGTTTTGTTTAAAAATGCTCTCTGAAAAAAATTCCCTTCAACTGCTGGGTTGCAGAAGGTGTAGAGTGAAAATGGTGATTACGCCCCTGGTTAGATTACATTTTCAGGAGGTGCAGGATGTTAGTTTGTATTTAGGTATTTCTATATTGGAGTGTTGCTGCTTAAGGATCTCAATCCTCGCTCCACCACTAAGGATTTCTCACTCTCCCATCTGCAGTTGTCATCCCTCCTACATGTACAGGATTCTCCCTGAACCTTACCAAACAACATAGGCTACATCATGGGGCTCTGCAGCAAACATTGCATTCATGCAAGAGGAGGTGGTGATATGTTATAGCTGGGGTCGCATGCCTCTCAGACAGGACAGTTCAGGTAAGGTTGAATGTGACATTGACAAATGACGGGGACCCAATCTGTGGGTTGCACTAGTGCGAGGACTCTTAATGATTATAATGTCTTTGTAATAATGATGTAAGATTATTTATGATTCTCATCACTGCTCCCTCCAGACACTGATGTTGCTCCACTCCTACCGCGGATCCCACAGCAGACAGGTCGTCCTCAGCGGGGGGGCACCTGCTGTCCCGCTCCGCGCTGCAGTGGCTGTGAGATGAGAGCAGCCTACATGATTAGTGCACAGCTGGAGAGACAGGCAGACCTGTAACACCTGAGCGGACTTCCAACATTACAGCATCGCACGCACGGGAGACGCGCGTCAGGGCGACTCTCCATCCAGAAATGATGCCCCGTCTGCCGGGCGGCGGCAGGACAACTTGCGGGACAACTGGCACCTTTTTGTCGGCATGTTTGGTGTCAGCCTGTCAAGCCCTCCGGAACTGCGGGGAGGTCCAGTGCGGCGATGGCCACCAGTGCTGTCCGCCCATCGTCACCGGGAACGGCAGTGTCAGCTCCACGGTGCGCTGCTGCAAGCTCCCCATCCACATCTTCTTCGACAACGTCGGCTGGTTTACGCGGAAGCTGTCGGGTATCCTGATCCTGCTGCTGCTTTTCGCCATGGGCTACTTCATCCAGCGGATCATCTGCCCGCGGCCCCGCCGGCACCCGCACCATGACCGCAGCGAGGAGCCCTCCCTCTTCCACGGGCACGCATCGGCGTCCCAGGACTCCCTGCTGGACCGGTACCCCGAGTACAGCCTCGGGGACTTCGCCTCCCCGAACCTGCCTGCATACGACGAGGTCAAATACTTGCCCACGTATGAGGAGAGCATGCAGGAGATGCACAGAGACCGCTCCGATGATAACTTGCTGTCGGAGAGCGAGAGGGGCGGTCAGGGCAGGGTGAGAGCCGCGGGACCGAGAGCTGGAGACCAGAGACGGGATGTCCTGGAGGTGTCAGGACCGCAACACAGCCCAAGGACATCTCGGAACTCTGTCTGAGACTGACCACAGACAATATAGCATTCTTATTTTAATATAATCAGGGTAATTATCTTGCAGAGATATAAACTCAAGTGCAATTATAATCCTGAATGTTAAGAATAAAGGAGGAGGCTGAGAAAATGTACGTGTTTTGGAAGATTATAGCGGATTACTCGCCTTTTGTATGCAAATAACCGCTTGGGTTAAGTAAAGGGAGATTATGGGGAGAGAAGGCGGCTGAAAATTGACGCTCTTTGTGATGGGGATGGCTAATTTGGCTCCGGTACAATCGCATTAAGTTTTACTTCAGCACCTCAATGTTCAGTGGCACCGTGAGACAGTTCTTCTTCTGTCATATTCTCGCCCTTTCTTAGTCTTAATGCTAAATATTCAATTGGACCTGAAAGACCTCGTTTTCTTTTATTTATTCTTTATTGAATTTGCATCCAAAAAGAAGAATATTTAGATTTTTTCCCTCAGTAACCTGAAATGTGGGCTGGAAGAGGGAGTGAAGGGATGAATATTAATTTTAGTACTTTTTGCAGCACACATTTTTATCAGCAGGCTTTAGAGACAGTTAATTTATAGCTTATCAGCATGAAGGCAATATTTTTTCATTGTGACTCACACACATGCACACACACACACACACACACCTCACTGGGGGCTGACAGAAGAGAATTTTATCAGTGACCTGAGCCGTGTCTGTTACTGCACAAGCTGAAGCCACAGCAGAGAAGTGCATTTTTTTTTTTTTTTAGCTCTGATCTTGGGAGCCTTGCTGCCTGAGGCAACATGTATCAGTGTCTCCCAGGTTCTGAGTTCAGTAAAAACAATGGCAGAGATTACAGCTGGCATACTGATATGGTATAAGCTGCCAAGGAGCAAAGTTGTGCTTTGATGATAGCATGTCAGACAAGATCACAACTGCTGCCCCAAGCAGAACGAACACTGTACAGCTCAGACCAAGCAAAGGAAAAAGGCAAAGGGACATCTAACAGGAAACAAGGGTGAGACAGAGACAGGAGGAAACCTTCAGACCTACTTGTATGTTCATCTCAAGTGTGTGACTGTCCTGTGCTACTTTGCATTTACAACTAATCAGACAAGAAGTGTCTTTTGTGTTGCTACAAACTGAAAACCAAGTCGACACCACACACACCTCATTACCTCAGGCTTAATGGCCTGTTTACCTGGATTAAAGAAAAAGGTGTACTTGCCATTAAGTGTCCATTAAAATGCCTCATTATGTTATAACATTAACATTTGTTATTGTCACTTTACTTTGACATTCACCAGGCGTGCGATGCCATATCCTCTCTACAGCTTGAAGAAATGTTAGCACACCATCAGTCCAGTGTCAAGAGAGGACAACTTAATTAGAAAGAGAATTTTGTGACCGAGTAAGCTGACAATCATTATCACATGCCAATACATCGCATAGAATGGGGAAAAATGTCCTGCATAGGTTCCCAGAAGCCAAGATGACGTCTTCAAATTGCTTGTTCTGTTTGTTCATGATGTGTGACAATATGTGACAAAAATCTACATATATGAGGCTGGAAGCAGTGAATTTTTAACAAAATCATTTTCTCAAACCTCCATCAAATGAAACTAATTTCTCTACCCATAGCAAACAAATACACTACTTTATGTACCTGGCCTAAATGGGACAGCATTGTTAGTACGTAAACTCTGCAGCTTTATTACCTATCCTTTCTTAAATGGTTCTGTGCAGTGACCTTCACCTTATTAAATCAACTCCACTGATATTATCCGGGAAGTTCCACCACAACATTTAAAACTTCAATTTCTGTCAAAATGTTTAGCCATTCCAGTGTGGACGATGTTGCTGCTAAAGCATCTGTATCCGCAAAACTAGACTTTACGATTAGAGACCCTGAGTTCCTCTAATGCTCCCAACACTAAAAGTCTGAGTGTGATTGTGGTGGCTTGTGTAATCCAATACTGCCAGACCATGATGGTTGAGCCAGTAGTGAACACTGATGGCTTTCCTTTCCAGAGGGATGTTTGTGGGTGGGTGGAGTTTGCACTTAAAAGCATTAAATCCATGCTTAAAACCCACTGATGGGTAGACGAGGTATAGACTATGTGACCCTAAGATGCATGAAGCCATAGATGAGTGCTACTCAAACCATAACAAGTGTGCAGGTCATTGTCAGTCAGCTCTTCTATCTGAGCTGTAACAGTGGGGTTGGGAGCAGAGGGCATAACCAGTCTCCTACGGGCCCCAGCATGAAACTTTAAGCAGATAACACACAGCTGGGGCATCCACTGTGAGGGGAGAGGATGAAATCCAAACATGCACTGTATGTGCACAAAGATACAGAGACAAGGGGATAATTATACAGTAAACACTCGCAAGCAACATTAAAATCTGCTCCAGTGATCCAGTTCTTTGATTGTTCACTGGAGCAAAGAACGAATAACTATAAAGTTCAAATCAATGAGCATTATCCTGCTCATAAATTCTACATTATAACCGGGAAGTGTATTTTTAGGGGAGCTGCATTGTTGCAGTTGTGAGTCAATGATTATGGATATTAAGCTCTGTGATTTCATGAGATATAGTAGGCTATCTATTTGGTATCTTGTGCTGAGTAGTTTTAAAAATGTAGAACATGTGCACAGTCTGTTTATTGTTAAGTAGTTACCACTGAGCGCTAGAAGTCTTGAGGCTGAGACTGAGAAACGCCTATGAAGTAATGTTTATATTCTTAATCAATAGATGAGTAGGGCTGGGTATTGTTACTCGATGCCTTTAAGGAACTGACTCGGTGCCATCAAGTATCAAAACTTTCACCGTCAAACGATCCTTTCTGTAACCAGATCTAGAAGAAATGACTATTTGGATGGTTTTGCTCGCAGTCAGTCGCCACAAGCAACCTTTGATTTAATGTGACGTGTGATTGGCCACTATAGTACTGCAGCAGCTACCTATACAGTCTGTGGTGTGGTGAAGTCAAGTGTGGTGTATCTGATGCTGAAAGGTATAGCTATACTACACACTTCTAGTGTCTGGTGGCCTTTTATGCGACTGAATGCTTCCACACACGATGGGTTTCAGATGAAGTGGAGAATATAAAGACGTCGGCGAAGATTCTCAATCATACAGGTCGTGGTAATCGTAAGTGCTTTATCGTAGGCAATTGGACTTGCTTGTGTTTCTTGAAGATTTTCACCTCTCATCCAAAGGGGTTCTTCACTTCTAACGGTCTGGTGCGGTGTCACAGGCTTTAAACTCTGTGTGAGTGTGAACCCTTAAAGAGTCGTTGAGGTCACATGTGAGCTCTTAAGAAACCTCTTGGATGAGGCGAGACGTCTTCAAGAGACTCAAGCAAGTCCAGTTGCCTACGATATAGCAGTTATGATTAGAAAATTTAAAGTATCAAATGAAGTGCTCTATTGGTATCACTTTATGGGTACTGATATCTCAGTTTTTTAAACAATACCTAGCCCTACAGATATCCAGTGTATAAAGTGTAACTTGGGTAAAAGTACACAAAATAATTTTAATAAACTAGTAGTCCAACAAATTATTTTTCATTACTTATATGCAAAAAATCCTGTCACATTACTGAGATTGGGTATGCATCATATCATGAAAGAGGGAGTATGAATACAACACATAATTCATTTCTATTTTTCAATGTGTGTGGCCGCTCTCAGTGGTAATGCATGTGAAACCTGACTCCCCGCTGATAAGTCTTTTCATAGATTAATGGTGTTTGGTCTGGATGACTATGGTTTATCACACAGAGAGTGGGCTCAGAAAGAAAAGCAGATGGAGGGCGTAAAATACGAGAAAGACAGTGAGTCAGACTTCGGCTAGAAGCGGCTAAAAGTGCACGTTGCTGAGAGAGGGGAAAAAAAAGCAACAGCAAGAGAGAATGAACCCATTGATAGATTTTCCTACATCTACCGTTTTCTCTGATGTTTCATCTGTGGCCGCTCAGTTTTGGGGATTATGCCGATCGATTTCTACCGCGTCTATCCACATCATCGTGATACGGTCTAGCAGTTGCTCCCAGAGACAGATCTTCTCCCTCACTTGTCCCTCCTGGGCCACTAGAGGAGATGGATAGGCTATAATGGTCCGCTGATGTACTGGCCTTCTGCCAACCAGGGGGTGGAGCTGCATGGCAAGCAGTTGGTTTCACACCTCAGCAGAAAAGGAAATACAAGAATAACTCAAAGAGAAGCTCACACTGTAGATATATTGGAGTCTAAAACACACATGCACCCAGAAATACCTCTGGGTGCATGTGCAAAGCTGAAAAAACATGTCAGAAATACTCTATGATCTTTATACCAGTGAAGCATCAAGACATTGAAGGAATATTAAAAAAAGGAGAAAGCGAGGTAAAAGAGAATATTTAGGATGGATATGTACAATATTTCCATCAGTTTTATTAACTGACATTCTTTTTAGTGTTCACAGAAGGCAAAGTTTTGAATATATAAACTGTAAAAATATCTATTCATATAAAAACACAGAGTCAAAGTTCAGTGACAAAACACAAAGCAGCATGTCTGAGCATATCAAGATAATTTTGACTTACAGAAATAGATAATCAACTTAAAACCTGACACACTGAAACCACAGAGAAGCCAATATGACAGAAAGGCTGTACTGGTGTTGTTGCTGTGAAATATAGATAGTCTCATCACAAGTCAAATCATCCACCCACAGTAACAGAATGCCACGTATAATGATGTGCAAATGTTTTACATTACACAGCATGCACCACAAGATTGTAGTGTAACAGTCAGTGTCATATTCCTCATGGCCTGCTAATCTTCACATCTCCAAATGTTCCCTTTTGTTTTCACTTGAAGTTAATGGACTTGTAACTAATGGTAGACATTTTACCTCAAGTACAGACATTTTTTATTACCCTGAGGCCGGGCCAAACCACTTAATATTCGCCAAATGTCAAAAACACATGGGAATCGATCGCTGTGAAGCGGATATATTAGACAGAGGTCCCGCGAACGCTAACGTCGTGAGGCTACGCTGCTCCTCACAGAGGCATTAGCAGCCTTCTCTCTCTCTTTAGACAACTCCATCTCTATCTTCGCGTCAATTTTCTCCCAGTCCACCTCGACCTGGCAGAGAGACAGAAAGACGGGATGAGATTAGACTAGATAAGATACTGCATTTTGCTTTGATCAGTGTTGGATTGACAAAGCAGCTAAATTAGTCAGATTACATGAGAAGGCGGAGATCACACTGGATGCCTGAAAACTGTGGTGTGTTTTAATGCTTTCCCCCTCCTGATCAGGCTGAGGCATTTTTTGCAGCCAGAGGCACCCCACCCCGATGTGACAGCAGAGAAATACCTGATGTGACATTAAGTGCTTATCCCCTCAAGATTAACTTTTTCTCAACTAAAAGCACTCTAGAGTGTATTAAGCAGAGCGAAAAAAAAAACTAATAACCCTTGGAAAACAATTAGAACAAGTCACCCTCCACTGCTGGCTTCCAGTGTGATCACCGCCTCAATCAATTGATGCAGTGCAACGCTGTCCTTACTTACCCCCTCAGCGTACTGCAGAAATCTTTTATTGGTCTCCTTCCTGCCAAATTTCTGTAGGAACTTTCCTCTAAAGGCCAGCACTGTGTCCACGTGGGTCTTGTGTTTGACTGCCAGCTCTAGTGCCCTGGACACAAGATGAAAAGATGCAGACATACATCAGTCCAGTATGGACAAACATGCTTCAACCTTAGGGATGCACCGATTTGACTTTTCAGTACCACAGCTAATACCTACGCTTTGTGTATTAGCCGACACCGAGTACTGATCCAATGCCAGTAGCAATGCTCCCGAACAGGGGCTGAGTCTTTTGTCCTTTTAAGTAGTCCTGTAATGTTATCCCGCCACTCACAGTCGCCACCTTTCTCAGCTCAGCTGTTGGTTCCACCAGTAGAGAGTGACCTCTGGTGGCATGCACTGTGCACTACAATACATTGCCTCAATACAGCATCTCTGTATCAGTTTAATAGAAAAAGGGATGTCTGTATTTTTGACATTATTGAAAATCATACCTTTGGCATTTTAAATTTCCTGGCATACTGTAACGCCTTGACCGGGTGTCTACAGGTGTCAGACAGTTACATTTAATGCTTTTTAAGACCCATTCAAGACACCTTTTAACCAAATTCAGGGACAGATTTTCAGCCAAATCATGTTTTAATTATTTAAGAATTGCAGGCAAGCTGCATATGTGTGATCTTGTGCAGATGTAGGAAAATGGTAATTAGAGTGAGTTGGGTCAATCTACATTTTGGCAACAGTTAAGTGCCAGTATGAAGTAAAATGATAGTATTATAATTTTTAAATGATTGGTAACATTCGAAATGTGAACTTTTACATTGAAAGGCTTCACACGGCGGTGCAGTGGTTAGCACTGTCACCTCACAGCAAGAGGGTTCCTGGTTCAAACCCAGGGTGGAGGGGCCCTTCTGTGCAGAGTTTGCATGTTCACCCCGCGTCAGCGTGGATTTCTCCAGGTACTCCGGCTTCTGCCCACAGTCCAAGGACATGCAGGTTAACTGGTGACTCTAAATTGGCCGTAGGTGTGAATGTGAGTGTGAATGGTTGTCTGTCTCGATGTGTCAGCCCTGTGATAGTCGGTGACTATCGACCAACTAGCGACTGGTCCAGGGTGTACCCTGCCTCTCTCCCAGTGTCAGCTGGGATAGGCTCCAGCCCCCCTGCGACCCCCAACAGGATAAGTGGTTACAGAAAAATTAATGTTTGTAGTGGTTTAGACTATTTAATTACTTTTAAAACCTTATTGCTGTAACATTGAATTTAAGACATTTATTATATATACATTAAGGACCTGTAGACACCCTGCTCGATACTGCCCAAAGCTATGGCAACATCAGCCTTGACTTAACCATTGCTTTGCTAACTTTGTAAAACAAAATGTAACAAACTAAAAGCTCACACAGATACACATTTACTGAATTGCTATTAATTATTAAAGTAATAAATTGTACACAGCAACTTTGTAAAACAGGTATTACAATTCAAGTGTAAACTTTTTTCAAATTGGTTAAAACATGGATGGGAATTAACATTCCAATATAAAACAATAAAACTGAATACACTGATTAAAAAGTGTGGTCTACCAGCGCGTTGCTGATGCATGACATACTAGTAAGTGCACGTGTATTCAGAAGTAAACATAGAATTGAATTGAACTGATCGGCTTTATTGTGACAAATATCCAATTCAGCCATATGAGTCAGTATTAGCCTATTTGATATCTACCCAAACTCTCATTCTAACCTAACACGACTCATACTGTCCCTCTCCTTTCAGCTGTACCTTCATACACACATTCACACAAACACAGAATTTTACCTCTCCCAGTTGAAAAGGTCGATGTTGATTCGTATGGCCTGGTAGATGAGACCAGCTTGTAAGACAGTGGCCTCAGCCTCCTGGACCTGACCACTGAACAGCAGCATGTGGGCTAAAGACGACTCCTTGGATGGCTGCTCCTTTATAAAGTTGATGTATTGAACCCTGGGTAACTTCAAAAAGAGAGGGAGAGGGCTGTGAATAGGATACTTCTTAAGTTGGCCTCTTTGACTTGCTCCTGTCAAAATCGTTGAGGACTTGGCAAAAACAAAAAACAGTGTGTTCAACTGAATCAGCCATTAACTAATGCTCTTACCTCTCCAATGGCAGCATAGGCCATCTCTGCTGTGGTCAGCTCCCTGTTTGCCATCGCCATGCCAGCAAGACATGCCCACAAAGACAGGTCCTGTAGATGTGGAGAGCAGAGGTAGTTACGATAATATCTCACCGTCTGACACAATGATATGGAGACGAGTTTTTCAGTCAAGCTATTTTTACAGAACTGTAACTATTATCTGAACATATGTAACTTTTATTTAACCTTGTCCTGAGTTTTTTAATCAAAATGCAAAGTTAGTTCTAGCTGGCAGTGATTAAGAATATACCAAAGCAAGACGTAGTCAAAGTAGTTATGTGTGCACAAGGACAGGATGTAACAGTGTCTTTATAGTGCCCATTACATACTGCTCATATCCGGGCAGGCTGCACTGTAGTCATGCTCTAAGCCATCAAAAAAACATGCATGACACGCACCACAAACAAACATAAACACAGACATTTGCCGTACACAACATCAATGAATGTAAACAAATGTGTCACCACTTTATTCCGTGCAGCTGCATTAATTAAACTGAAGCCTAAACCACCAATTGGCCAACAGTTGAGCAAACTTCACACTGGAGTCAGCACTGTGTAATTCCCCCTTTAATCAGTGTCCATCACCAAGACAAACAGCTCTAATCGTAAACCACTCCTGGAAACAACAAATAACCCTGTCAGCCACTGCCTGGGGTCATAAACTTGATACAAATAGATGACGACCTATCACAAATCTTTCTTTTGGTTTGCCTGTGTCATAGTTAGATTATAAATGCCATCTACTGTATGTTATGTATGCCTGTGTGTTTATGTGTGTGAGTGTGTGACTGCCTGTAAACTATTACATGTATCAACTCCTATCAGGTCAGGGCTTACTGACAATGACTGTGATTCTGGGAAAAGCCGTGCTGCCACCAAACTCTTACCAGAAGCAGAGGGGGGAGGGCTGGAGGGAAAAAAAAAAGCTCTTAAAACCAGTGCCTCTCTCTCCGTCCCTTCTGTCCCACCCTCCTCTTGCTGCTAGCCGTCCATTTCTCCAGGGTTGTGGTTATTGCATCATCGCCCAAGCAAAGACACAGTTCAACACTGCATTCAGCGTGTGTGTGTGTGTGTGTGTGTGTGTGTGTGTGTGTGTGTGT